CGGTTAATGTTATTTCTAGCTTTTATTTCTAGTGTAGATGACAAGATGGTTGATGTTATTTCCAGCTCTTATTTCTGATACAGATGACAAGACGATTGATGCTATTTCCATCTTTTATTTCTGGCGAAGATGACAAGACGGTTAATGGTATTTCCAGCTTTTATTTCGGGTACAGATGACAAGACGGTTAATGTTATTTCTAGCTTTTATTTCTAGTGTAGATGACAAGATGGTTGATGTTATTTCCAGCTCTTATTTCTGATACAGATGACAAGACGTTTGATGTTATTTCCAAATTTTATTACTGGTACAGATGACAATCGGTTAATGCTATTTCCAGCTTTTATTTCTGGTGCAGATGACAAGACAGTTGTTGTTACTTCCAGCTTTTATTTCTGATGCAGATGACAAGACGTTTGATGTTATTTCCAGCTTTTATTTCGGATGCAGATGACAAAAGAGTTCATATTATTTCCAGCTTTTATTTCTGGTACAGATGCCAAGACGTTTGATGTTATTTCCAGCTTTTATTTCGGATGCAGATGACAAAAGAGTTCATATTATTTCCAGCTTTTATTTCTGGTACAGATGCCAAGACGGTTGATGTTATTTCCAGCTTTTATTTCTGGTACAGATGCCAAGACGGTTGATGTTATTTCCAGATTTTATTACTGGTACAGATGAGAAGACGGTTGTTGTTATTTCCAGATTTTATTTCTGGTACAGGTGACAATACGGTTGTTGTTATTTCCAGCTTTTATTTCTGGTGCAGATGAAAAGGTGGTTGATGTTATTTCCAATTTTTATTTCTGGTACAGGTGACAAGATGGTTTATTTTATTTACAGAACTTCTAAGTGTCGACAATGTATGTATTCCTGTAAGCATATAGTTATTACATGAAAGTAAGTGTCGACAATGTATGTATTCCTGTAAGCATGTGGTTATTACATGAAAGTAAGTGCCGACAATGTATGTATTCCTGTAAGCATGTAGTTATTACATGAAAGTAAGTGTCGACAATGTATGTATTCCTGTAAGCATGTAGTTATTACATGAAAGTAAGTGCCGACAATGTATGTATTCCTGTAAGCATGTAGTTATTACATGAAAGTAAGTGTCAGCAATGTATGTATTCCTGTATGCACGTGCACCTTATCTTGAGTTGACGAGTTAGTGTAGATGAAATCCTATAGTAAACGACTGTAATTTTTGTATTCCAAGAACAGTGCTGCGGATCATTGAACCCTCCAATTCTTCTTGGACTTCTGTAGTAGTTGTTGTCAAGAAGAAGACTAATAATCTTAAGTTCTTTGTGGACTACATAAAGTTTTTGCTTGACCCTGGTTGTAGCAGCGTTTAGTTTAGACCGTTACACAATAAATATATATATAATATGTGTGTGTAACGAGCCCCCCTCGTGCACACCTATGTGTGAAACTACACCAAAGGGAAACGTATATAAATGTAGGGATATTGACAACTTCTGAGTGCACTCCGTTTTCACGGATTCAATACTGCAATAGAAAAAGATATAAACAAAAATATTTATCGACATAAAATGGCCAATACGGAGAGCATGGACCTCCGAGAACGAAACTTTAGAAGTAAATAAGATTATTTTTGTGTTATGAGTGTGATCTACATTCCTTGACGTTCATCATAGTGGACGCACAAAGACGTTGCAAACAACTGAATCAAAATTTTATTCCATATAATTCAGGCAGTGGATGGTTCAAGCACCTAACGCAGTTTGTTCAGGCCTCACCTTCACGTGGACAGACGAAAGAAATATCGAAGAAGATAGTTTTGTGACTCGAGGTCGTTCATGCGAGGTTGATAACGAACTGAACAACCAGAAGTAAAAAATAAAATATAATATAAGCAGTGTATTCAATAGTGTCTAATTGTTTTTCATGTAATAACCACATGCTTACAGGAATACATACATTGTC